TTCAGTTATTCCAACAGTTGGTTACCAGAGTGTCTGAATTTGCTGCTTAACTCCTGGTCCCTGTTTGTGGACTTTCTACCCAGTGGAGTTGCAAGTGTCCTTGTCTCAGACTGAAATGCTTCTGCTCTTCGATCTCTTCATTTAGGTACTTACAAAGTTAGCTCTGAATCCTCCACTTAGGAGCTACACTGGTTTAACTTCCTAAACACCTGTCCCCAAAGCATCTTTAATAGTCCTGAACCAAAGTCAGAAAGCATAAGTCAGAACGTGTAGGTGCCAACCGTGTGGTGGTGCTGGAGGCACCTGCACAGGTGTCATACCATAGGTTGATGTCGCCACATTTTCTATATTGGATGTGTTCTGGTTTTAGCCGTGCCATTGCATTTCAGAGTTCTTGTTGCACTGTTTATCCACTGAGCCCTGCACAGGATTTGGAGCCACGATGTAGCAGATGAAAGCCCCTGAAGCATGGCTGTAGACAAAATATATGACATTACCTTTGGCTGTAGTTTGGCTGAAGTTGATATTGTTGGCCAGGCTACCAAGTGATCCAGATCGCTCTTTATCAGTGACCAAGCTCTTTCCATTTTCTGCTCTCATAATGTTTTTTACATCAATCCTGTGGTGAATATTGTTTTTGTTTCTTCCTAGTCACCAATACGATATTTTAACACGGTGCCAAGATCTCTTTGTGGTTATCAGCAAGCAAGTGTATTTCTGACCATCTGTTTATATGCAAAGAGTTGTCATTTAGCTAATTTTAATCCTGATATGTGTGGTGTTGACTTTTTATCTCTCTGGTTTCACAGTAAACATATATTTTTTAAGTTTGGCCAGAGTCATCTTCTGTAAGCCCATGTTGATTTGGATTAAGTATAAATGTTCTTTAATTGAGTTGAACAGGTTGAAGCCCTGTGCTTGTTGCCTATCGCTATACTTCCTTGTCTGGGAAGTGAAGCTGACCAGGCTGTATTTGGCCAGGCTGTCCAACTTATCCTTTTTAGAGAACTGGCATACCATCAGCTTTCTTTTAGTCCTCTGGAAATTCTGCTGTCTTTTAAGAATTCCAAGTATTCCAAGACTTATGATGTCGTGCGATCTCGAATCCAAACTCTCTACCACATTTCCCTTCACAAAAATAACTATGAACTTTCTAAATTCAATTTATTTCTTTAAAGCATTTCCAATGGTATAATGTTTTGTAGAAGTCTTTTATTGCAAAACCTAAATTTGAAGCTGAAAAGCTACTTTAAAAACATGTTTTTAAAAGATCCTCATTGTTCTACGCAAGCCATTGCAGTCTGCGGTGCAGTTAATTGTTAGACTATTGTGCTATAAAGCACTGCGTGAAGCATGTAAAATTCAAAGTGGGTGCATGTAGATAACTAATTTTAAGGCAAGTTGTTTCCTGAGTACACCACGGCTTGAATCTTACTGGATTTTCTATTGGAAGTAAAATCTTTATTTAGCTAAACACAAAGAACTACCGAGTAGTCAGTGAAGGAAAGTGATGAAAAATGTGCTGTGGAAGAGGTTAATTTTTGAAATACAGAGAATTTTAACATCCATGGGGTGTTTGACAGCAAGCCAAAAGTTATCAACTCCAAACTGCTGGGAGAAAAGGGAAGATCATAAAGGGCGAGGGTTAGAAAAGCCCTGGGGTCTGCTGGAGTTATTTGCTAGACCCAAAGCAAGGTTGTGGCCATTCTGAGATTTGGAGGTTAAGCGGAAGAGATTACATCTATTATGGAAAGAACACGGTCAGCGAGTTGAGGACATCCAAGTACTGTATTCTTGTGGACCAAGTTGTAGGAAAGCATGGTCGGTGGTTTTCAAGGCATGTGCAAAAGCATCTCATTTGGATCTGATCTTGTTCTCTTGTCCTCTTGATATGAATGGAAAGTATTTTAGGGCTTGAGTACCTGTCAGGCCATGGACTGCTGTTTGTCCAAGCGTGCTGATGGATCTATATGCATTTTGGCAACATGAACTGGTTTTAATGTTGGACTATCTAATGTGATTTGACAGGAAAGCTTAGGGACCACCCTTGCAGAGCATGCATCATCTCCAGATTGCACTTTGGAAGGCAGAGTTGAAAGTAAAATTGAAGAACAGTATCTACCAGCAGAAATGTTGTCTTGTGCTTGATAGCACCGTTTGTTCCACGCCCCCCACCAAAAAAAAAAAAAAAAAAAAAAGGATTTAAAAAGGATTTTAGAGATATAACAAAGGCCAGATGCTTGTTCCTAGTAACATTGGTTCATGCTCTAAGATTTTAGTCATTTTTCCAAAGTTTGATACCTTCAGTGGTGTGTTTTTTCTAAAATGTCAATATAAATTTTCACACATTAAACTAATGGTGTTTAAAAATGAAACCACCTCAGCAGAGCATATATATATATATATATATATATGGCTTATACATTTAAAGCTATTTTAAAAGCACTAACCTATTAAATACAGAAGAGTTTCGTAGCATTAGTATCACTTTCTCTGTTTTACAGCCAAGGGAAGCTGATGAATAAAATAAGCCCATGGCAGAACTGATGTGAAAGCTGTGGAGAGGAGAACATCAGGATACCTTCAAGTACCCAGTTCTTCCCCTCATGTGGCTTCTATTATTTCTAACACTTAACTTTTTTTAATCAGTGGTTTTAATTTTTATTTTTTTTTCCTGTAAACTTCTGTTTAGCAAATGTGCTTTCTGGCATCAATCCTTTCTGCATGCAACCAAAAGCTCACAAGATTATGGCCAAGTTATAAACCCCTATGAAAACAGGCAAAACAACCACCAACAACCAAAACTATAGCCAGGCTCTGTCTTCCATGCCTCCCCCCCCCCCCATAATTTTTTTGTTAGGGAACACAGGGACAGAATGAACAAGCCCCTGGTGTGATTATCTATAGATGGTTTCCAAGATGACTTTACTCCTTTCTAGAGCAAGAAGTCTTCCCATGTAGTTCTGTAAGTATTTGCAATCCCCCAGGATAATACTCTGCACTATTACAGTGATGCATTTTTCCAGGAACCAAGTGCAAATTCAGTCAGTCAATCAATAAACAAATCTCTTTTTTGTTTTTATCTTTGGTTCTTGTAAACGCTACGGTCAAAATGCTGCCTCTATTGGAAACTTCTTTTACGAGTGCTGTAAGAGTTTGGGAAATCTGTCAAACATTGTGAGCAGCTGCTGAGCAGAGCCCTCCGATCCGTGTGTGCTTTGGCATCGGCGGGATGCACAGGAGCAAAGAGTGAGTGGAGGAACTGGGCTTTGAAGTCTGCTTGGTGATGTTATATTATTCTTGGCTCTTTGTGCTTTGGAAAATACACTACATCAAGTTCTCATCATTGCTGTAGTGCACAGTTTTTCTTGAGGCTGTGGAAGGGTGGTTTTAGCATTACGTTCAGCTATGAAACACCTCAGACGTTTCACTGCTGAGATTGTTATTTTATTAAATTCTTGTTAGTTTTTTCCTTTATATGATTGGACTGGCTCCCCGGTTTGTTTCTGGGGGTGTTTCGTGCTTTCACCACAAAACTTATGCGTACCCTCATCTGCATTTGCGATAGTTTCATAATGACTAAGTCACAGCTGAATTTCCTGCTTTGTAGTTGGATTCACCTGCACCCCACGCCCCGAAACCACAGTAATTTCCCCATGTTCCATCTTCCACCCCCAGCTGCAAGAGCTCTTTACAACCTTTAACGCTCTTGAGCTCAAAAACCCCAAACCACAATTTTGGGATACTTAAGAATTGGAACATGGGATGTTTTTGTGGATGTATCCGATCCTGATCCTGTCCACCTTTCGGAAGGCAGGAGCTTATGGGTTTTGCATGAGAAAGATGCTCTGCTACCAGTACTGTTTCTGCATTCGTGTAGGTAATAGCAACCTGTGCTTTTGGGACAGGTGCATCTTAAATGCACTGCCACCCTGCAGCTGGCTAAGTGACCTTGGTGACAGCCACTGGGCAAGGTGTTAGCTCTACTGGGCACCAGTGTTTTTCCTTCTGTTAAGATTAAATGAAGAGCAGGGAAGATTTGTTAACTAGGGGCAGGGGTGGGAGAGAGGGGAGAAAAGTTTACAGGATAAAAGCTTTTTCAACAGTGACTTGAAAACCCATATGGCTGCTCAAGAGATTCTTACTCCCTCCAGCTGCATCCAGAAGATTCATCCTTCTCTGGTACAAATAGTATAGTTTGCACTCTTAACTAGAAAAGCATGTTGATCCCAAAGTGCCAAATTCTGCTTGCCAAATATTGCTACAGATCTAGAGCTTTTTTCTTCTTCTGTTTTAAATTTTTTGTTTGCTACTCCCTGGCTTGGTAATGCTTTCCTACATGCAGACTCGCATTCAGATATGTAAAAATGCAAGTCTTTTGTCTTTTGTTGTTGTTATTTCAGTGAATGCCTTACAGCTAAATTCCTCTACACTGTAAACCGCAGCACAGAATTAGTAAGTCCATTACCTTAGCTTATGACCTGACTGAGTGGAGCAACGTATTGTCTTCAGACCCTTCTTTATGCCTCCATGCCTGAAAACAAATAATCTTATGCCTCAAATCCCAAACTAAGCTCTTGATAAACATGTTATTACCCAGAACTCAGCTTTGGTAGTGCTTTAAGACAAGTAAAATTAATAAGGGATGAAGGAATTCTTGTGGACTTGTAAATCTGTAGTAACTCTTCGATGTCAGCATAAAGCACAGCTTAATTCTAAACTTGTAGCAAAATCACAAAAAAATTTGGAAAGATTTAAACTTTGTAAAAGGCTTTACAATCTGACTGTTTAAGCATTTGAAGTGTTCCTGCAAATGAGCCATATCTAATATGAGCAAAGGGTGTTGAAGCAGGCTTTAACAGATTACTTTTTCTTTCTCTCATTTTGCCTTTTTTTTTTTTTTGTCACGCATTAAAATGATCAGAATTGGTTTTCTCCCTTGAATACTGAAAATTTAATAAGTGCTGTTACTGATAATGTCCTCTATGATTGTAAAACAGGTCACCAGCTCCGTGTTGGCATTAATTGTCGTCAGAGGGAGGTTCAGCACCTGCTGGTTTGAGCTGTGACTCCAGCTGAAGGAGCCTGGGTTGGGCAGTTACCGTCCCACTGCTGCCTCGCCAGGGTTTACAGAGCTTTGCTCAGGTGAGTTTAAATAGTCCTTACTGGTGGGCAAGGAGAAAAAGAAGGAAAACAGGAAAAACAGCATGAATGAAGACCTCAGAGCAATTACAAGTTTCTCTTTGACTTTCTACTGAAATTGCTTCTTCAGTTCACTGAAGTCCAGTTGATTATTTCCTTTTCCAGAAGAGGTAGGGGCAGAAGTAGAAGGGTTCCTAGGCCTCCAGGAAGAAAGAAGTTAAGGGAAAACATGAGAAGCTTTGTGGGAGATGCTGAAGGCATCAGATCCCAAAGGCAGCAGGGCCTGGTGGGGAGGTGAAACGGACCTTGTGTTACCTCTGTCTGGGGCAGTCTCTGACCACCTGCAAGAACAGGTAGCTGTTAAATGTAGCTTTGCCGCTGGCATTGATTTTTAAATAAAGCAACTAAACTAACTTTCATGTCCTTCTAGCACTGCAGTGTCACTGCGGTGCTCTGCAGTTGCTGGTAGCTGATGGTGACACACTGTTTATTACAGCGAGGTTACATTGAGTACATTTTACAGGCACGTTGCCTATCTTTTTAGAGGAAAGAGTCAAAATAGCTACTGGATGCCAGGCACTGGAAGATATGAATGAATTTCTGTGTGCCCCTACATCCAGCAGGAGTAAAGCAAAGGAAATGTCCTTCTGATAAATACCCTTACATGTTCCATTTGCAACAACGCTTGCAAAGTCAACTGTAGAAAGGGGAGGAACTGCTAGTGGGAAGAATGCAGGTTGATACCAGGTTGCTTTTATTCGGCCAAAGCCAGCAAACAAGCATCAAACAGCTCCTTTGAACTGGCTAGCAAGCTGCAAAAGTTCTTCCATCATTGCTCTTTTAACTCCATTCTTATCAGTGGTACTTTCTTCTTGCAAGAGTGGGATGTTGTCAGAGCTCAGCATTTCTTTTAGACTGTTACACATGCTTAACGTTATACTACTTATTGAAAATGCAGTGAGGGTAATGTAGCTCCACGGGAGAGCTGCAGAATGCTTTCTCAGGTACCTGGACCTGGGCTATGTGGAGCTGACACTAATTCCAGGTACTACGTGTGCTGTCTTCACTCATACGTTACTGGATTCAATCCCTCTTTCTTCAGTCATCATTGAGCACTGGGCTCTCAGTCACTGAGATTCTACAGAAAGGAAAAAGAGAAATGAAGTTAGAAACTCTTACAGAAGGCAAATTATCACCATGTTCTTAAAATGGTTTCATTAACCTTTTAGTTCGTTATTTGAAAGACAAGCAGTGTGATATGAGGAGTTTCAATAAATGGCAGATATAAAGTGGCAAAGCAGAAAAGAGTACATGTTCCTTCTTCACCTTCTACTCGTTCATTTGAGAATTTGCTTCTGTCACTATCTGTTTCTCCTCCTGACAGAGAAGTGGCCATACCAGCATGCAGCTGATGCTGAGCTATGAGCAGAGGGCACATCTGAGTGTCTTAGACGACAGAAAATAGATGAACCAGTGCTCACAGTGGGAACACAGGTTTGCAAGTGTGCCACCAGCATCAACAGAACTGCTTTGTGTGCCACAGCATCTGGCCTTTCACCAGCACGTGCAAATGTTTCACTGGTTCCCAACGAGAGGTTACGGCCAGACTTCCTCAGCGGGCTCAGAATGCCAAGCAGCCACTGGTCAGTTCCTCTGGGATTCATCCCAGCGCCCTCAGTCACGTTATCCTGGTTGTCTCTGGAGCAGAGACTCATGCAGATAGCCCGCTTCTTTTAAGCTTGGTATGTGTTAGAGACGGCCTCATCCTGCACTGCATCCCATCCGGCAGTGGCCCTGTGCTTTCTCAGGTCCTCTTGCAGACTGGAGCGTAACACTCCTGGAAAACCTTGCATCTCGTTAAAGTCTGCGTTTATTTCTGAAGGGCCTTTTCTGCTACTGAATGAATGCCCCTCGCTGCACAGAAACTCAGCAGATGGGGTTTGCTGCTTCAGGCAGTGAGACCGTGTAATTGAGCGTGCAGTAGCACCTCTCTCTGAGCATGTGTGCCAGGCAGCCAAAGCTCCAGAAACTCGATGCTCCACGTGAAGGACACGATGTTCACCTGGACCTCGCTGCCAAGCCTTGAACCGTGATTCTCAAGGCCAGGGCAGCCCATAAACTAGCACATTAGGCTGAGTCACTATTCTGGCAGGATAGGTCTAATTTCTCTTTCTGTAAACTTATCTCCAGAGTACTTTATCATCCTGCAGCTATTCTAACACAACAGCCTTTGAATGACTGGATGTTGCAGAAGCAATGATTTACATCAGGTAGGGGAAACAACTCTGTGGTAGGTCTTTCAAAGAAACGAAGCAAAAACAAATTAGATATTTTATTTTTGTGTTTTGTCTTAATACTCAACTCCCCTTTGGATCATTAAGATCTTTCAGTTTTCTTCACCAATTTGTCTTATCCTTCCCAAGAGCTTTGGGTCAGTTCATGTAGCTTTTAATAAAGGCTCTGTCTCTTACATAAACACACACGTACTGACACAACTCAGAAATCACCACTGGTAAACAAGAATGTTAATTGCTGGGTAATTATACTCTGCAAGGCAGAGGGGTGGGAAGCATTGAAAAGAAGCTGCAGGCTTTTCAAGACAACAATTTGTAGTTGGATTAAGCTGGAACAGACCCAGGCCCCAGAAGTGAAAAGACAGCGCTTCTAAGCCTAAAGCAACACTTCTTTGCCAGTTAGCTTTAAGTATGCACTGCCCAGTCATAGTTCCAGCCTCTCTGGAAACATTTAACACTTTAATATGAAGGGGACAGAAGCTTAACCCTCGCATTCTGTGGACCTGAATTTTATTTAATGTATATGTACAGGCCTAGAAGGGTTTTTAAAACCTTGTAACTTAACTATAACAAAAACTATTTTTCCTGTAGCATCTCACAAGCATCATTGTTAAAACCGCCACTTTTAGCAGTTAAAACAATTAAGCTGAAGTTCTTTGATTTCCCTGGAAGGGCATCCAGTCCCTATCCATCAAAGTCTTGGGCTGCAGCAGTTTTGCCAGAGGTTTTGTTCCACAGAATGATGGATGGGTGAACGCTGGTAAAACTGTTTAATGTAGGTTTTTCTAGCTATTTCTTGGTAAAAGTGCATGTTGGCTGCAGTGCTCATCTTGAAAGATGTCAGAGGAGGGCCTTATTCCGACAGGTATGTTGTCATTTTGGACGAGCAAGTGCTTTGCAGAACTTCTCTTTCCCACAGTGTTTGTACTTCCAGATCCATAGGGGATTGCTAAGGGTCAAAGTTTCAAAGAAATTAATCCCTGTTCTGGACTGTCCAAGTGTCGATGTGAAATGGCACAGACCATTTTGCAGTGCATGCTTCGTGCAGTTGGCCGGTTATCCCCTTTCTTCTTTTCTGGCTAGGAATGCAAATAGTATATGCAAATCTGAGGTTTCACAGGATTAAAAAAAAAAAAAAAAAAAAAAGTTGTCCTCACAAAACCTGGGCAAACTTTGGAAGGGAATGTCAAATAATTGGCTCTGTTGGCATAACTCAGAACTATTAGATAAATATACACAGCAAAAGTGTGTTTCAAATCAAAGACGTTTCTCTCTCTCCAGCTACAGTGCCCTGTGTAGGACTCCCTGCAGCAGCTGATGCCATTGTGGGCTCTGAAAGGAAAATACTTTGTCCCTGGTTAGTCCTTGCAAGACCCAAGGGACTTGGTGCCTCGAGGTAGCATCCTGTGATCTCCACTCAAACAGCCTGCTTAGTGCCAGGCTTCCCCATCCCCTCTTATCCCTGCTGGGGCTCAGGGCTCAGCCCTGCAGCCAGGTGTGTCGCAGGGAGGGAGCTGACCAAGGGCACACACAGGGTGGGCAGAGGAAGGTGGTACACCCTCAGCTCCTAGTTGTAAACTATTAGTGATTCCATTAGAAAGATGCAGGATAAGGCTTGGCAGAGAAGGATCTGCCTGTCTGAAGCTTTGCGTATTTATCTGAATCTGTGGGACTGTCTGCCAGGCTTTGCACACACACTTAATTTTAAGCATGTGAGTAACCAGTGGGATTGCTTAATTTTAAGCATTCCCCAAATTATGTTACTCTGTTTGTTATCTTTTTTCCATATACCCCAAAATATTCTTAGATCTATGAGGATTACTTGGGGTCTTGTTACATATTCACTTTCCAAGAAAACGAATGCAACAAATTAAATAACTTCAGGCTTAACGTATTCTGGTTTGTTTTACAGTTGTCTCAATTAAATCTGCTCAAGTTTTCCTTTAAAAATGGCAAGCTGATTAATCTTAGCTGCTTTCCCAGTTCTAGCAGCCTCTTCCAGGGTTAAAAGAAAAAGCAACAATTGCCAGATCTTTTAATTTCTGGGCCTCACTGGATGTAATGCCTGTTAACCCCTAAGGACTGCTGAAACATTTGTGCTGCGTAGGCCCTTAGCCAAGCTTAGCATGCCACAGATGAAGTAATGCCATACCTGTCCATCTGTTTGGCCTATTGCTTTACAATATTTGGAATAAAAATTTAATTTCATATAATTTTCTGTGACATTGTTTAGAAATAGACCATTTGTACGTGTCAGAATGAAATGCAAATCACCCCTTTAGCGAACGAAAGTGTGATTTCTGACTGATATTTTGTAAGGCCTGATTGTTATGATTGCTACCCAGTTGTATATCCTCGCCTTCCTCCAGAAGAAAATGTAATGGAAAACGTAACCCTAACAATTACATACAGATGGCACCATCCGCATGATTTCAGCTCTGTGTGATGGCTTATGTTTCTCTAGTACAACTGGTGTAAATTAAATTGTAGTCATCTTCTGCACATGTATTATATTGTATCTTCACCAGCACTAAGAGCAAGAACTGCACATCTGCTGGGTGAGAGGACGTGTCGGCAATATTCTGTTTATTTGGCTATTGCACATTGCTAGTGCCAGTGAGAACCCGGGGATCTAGCTGAATTTGTTGGAAACCATATTACACTTCTCAGATCACCCCATCCACAATTTATTGTCTTCTCACTGTGACAGAACGGGCTGTGGTGTAAGTTTTTCTTCATCTTCTTGCATGCTGTAAGCAGCAGCCATTTCCAGCTGGAGTTTCGGGATCTGTTAGGGGATCTGGATGTTCAGGGGGAGAAGGAGTGGGTCTGAAAGAGGAGGACGTGAGGAGGGGAGATGAGAGTATGTGCACTTTACTCACACTTGAAAATCAGTACTCTTTTTTCTTTCTCTTTCACAGACTCAAATAGGCTTCTGCAAAGAAAACAGAAAAGGCCTCATAGTTCATTCAGGCCATCATCCTTCAGAGCTGCAATTAATGTAAGTTGATAAACAGTACCCTTGTGCTTCAGTTCTTAACCACTGTCAGCAAACATGGGCACCCACAAAACCCCCGGGCTGGGCGATGCAGATGTGAGCTCTGCCCAGCCTCGGGGCTGGCTGCAGCCCAGGCAGCGTGGCCGCCTGCCCACAGAGCCACACAGGCCTGGGGAGCTCTCCTCTGCCTGCACCTGTCTGTGCAAACCTACCCTGAAATTGATGTTGCTCCCTGGGCTGGAATTGTCTTTCTGTTTTATATTTCATGCTGCACCGGCCATAGGAGAGTGCAGTGCGGCGCCGGGGTGCCTTAACTGCAGTTGGGATGCAGCTGATAGCTGTAATATGTGCTGCACTTGCCAGATGCAGTGCTGCTGTCGTTGCCCCTGTTTAAATCTGGCATAATTCTGCAACTTTAGTGGACTTAGTCTTGATTTAAGCTGAGGTAAGTGAGAACATCTTTTAGAGGCAATATAAAATGATTTAGGGGCTTGTCAGAAGAGTCAAAACATTAGCAATAGGCCCTTACCTGCTTTATTCATTGGCATTCCCAGGGCTCTTGCTGCAGTGATTCAGCTAATTAAAATTCCTTTTACCTACATTTTCCTTTACAGCTTCAGGTGGCTATAAGAACTTTCATTTCATGTCCCAAACCATTATAATGTGTAAAACAGATGCTGTGTTCCACTCTGCGGTGGCAGCATTTCAACGGTAGATCAAATGATCCTCCTGCATAATATCTATTACTGGCTTGTGCCACTAAGATTGGAGAGAGAGTTTTAATCAAATGTCTGAAAAGAATGTGAATTTTTCAGTTGTGAAGTCTCTGTGAAGTACAAAGCACTGCTTTTATTTTATCTTACCTTCTTTCCATTCCCTGTGTGTGCCGTGCGTGTGTTTGTGTGTATATATGAACAGATTAAATTAGGAGTTCTTTCTGAATATCTAGCCAGTTGATTCATGCATGAAATACAGACAATACCAAACATGTGAGTCGTTAGTTACTGTGAGATTACGGGTCCAATCTTATTCCCAGGGAAGTCAGTTTAAAGCAGGGTCTACGTCCTTAATGTTTTCTACAGAGAAGCCTGAGACAGTAACCTTAGGAGAATGAAATGTGAAACCCCCATGGCAATTTAAGTAGGGCCACAGTTGAAAAGCAATGAGAACAGGTTCCCTTTGTACTTCTCTGAGCTGCACTTGGCATCCCTTGGGGCAAATTGGGAGAGTTTCAGCCTTCAATGTCTACACAATCCCTCATTTTTCAGGAGCAAAGAGGCTTGTTACAGAAGAATGCTTTCTGTTCCTTGTAAGCCTAGAGTGGAAGGAGATCACTGATTAAAGCAGAGGCTTTTGATTAAATGATGAGGCTACTTTCAGTGATTAAACAAAAAAAAAAAAAAAAAAAAGGTATTTTGGGGCCCGCTTTCTGCTGAAGCTAAAATAGCCATCTATTGAAGCACACAGGAGAAAGCAAGCTGCCCAGTGGTCATTTGGAGGTTGGGAAGGTGCAGAGCAAGGAAGGGGAAATAGCAATTTTGGGATTATGCTAGTATTCATCTGTAATTGGATCACTGTTTATTTTTGTTTCTTGAGATGCTGTCACAGGCATGTATTGTATTTATCTTGGTAACTCAAGACACACAATGCTCTGTCACTCATCGCAGATAAAAGGCTTCAGTGTCCTCAGATAATTATGGAAATTTTATTAGCTACAATGAGACAATCATAGAAGGTATCAGGGCTTTGATTTCATCTTTTGGACATGAGCCTATTTTTTAGTCTCTATTTTCCATTTATTTGGACAATTTTTAAAGCACTGTTAATCTTTTAAGTCAGTCAAACTACCCATTGCTTTGAAGCTTTTACCTGCGTTCCCAAGACAAGCATTTGTAATACGTGGCATTACAACACACCCACTGCAGTGAAATGATTCAGTGGCAGGCCAGGACCAAAATTTCGTATTCCTTCATCTTTGTCAGTCCACGCAGTCAAAGCCAGTCTGTTTATCCGGGGCTCTGGTTTATGTGCAACTCTGCTTTGCTTTGCATCTGCGTTCCCAGGTCTGTGCAGCTCCTATAAAAATGTGAAAAAGACTGGCCTGTTCGAATCTGTTTCTATGTATTTCACAGAGTTGCTATGCTTGCATTTTTTAGTGTTTACATGCTGCAGTCATGTAAAAAGCACAAGGTTATGTGGAAAAGGGCAGGGCTTGCTTCAAATTATCATTGAAAGAAATAAAAAAAAAAAATGCAGAGAAATGTCAGGAGATCTTGATGAACATGTTTCTGCGGGAACTGGAAAAGAGACCAAGCCACAAAATTAGGAACTAGATCCAGATTCCATATCCTTCAGCCTCACCCCTAAGGGAATGAAAAATTCAAAACTGAAATACCACAAGTTTGGATTAAGTTTTTATTTGAACCTCTCTCTCCGTAGTCTAGTTACACTGACAGTCTCTTAATAAATGTTAGTGTGAGCTATGCCCATACCTGATTGTTATACCTGAGCACACGCAATCATATGATGCATAAGTGCAATTTCTTCCTAATTTTTTTCCAGGATTTTAATGCAATGGTGGAAGCTGGCAGTTCTGCTAAATATTACTGAGCTGCCTACAAATATTGCAAGATGTTTCCTGCTTTTAAATGAAGTCTGAAAAAATCAGAGAACTTGTTTCCACTCTGGCCCTTATACTGAGAAAACGTAAATTACTGGCTGAAAGAGATGGGTAAACATGTCAACCTTTGCACTTAAGGGTTTTTTAGTTTGAAACGTGAATTTGATTCCAAACCAAGCCAACCACAAGATAATACCAGAAACTGCATTTAACTAAATAATTGAACCCTTTATCCGTGCTATTGGGATTTCTGTAGTGATTAATATTCATGTCAGAAACTTGTGATATGTCTTTTTATTTCTAAATATCACTATGATGTTATGTGAAAGCAAGTTGTAACACACCTTTCTGGGGTAACAGAGTATCTCCCCTTCTTTCCTGTGCGTTAGTACTGAAGATAAAATACTTCTTGTAAATGTAAGAGACGCTTTAATATGGTTATAATAATTGAATTAATACATAGATATTCAGTGGCAATATATTCTGCCTGCCTTGAGTTGGCGAGAAGCACATGCACCATACAATAAGATGTGTTTATGCCAGAAGCATTTGTTTATGATACAGCGCCAGTTACCTGTTGCGTTTTAAGCAGTGTGATTAAAACAGAGTGATATAAACTTTCTTGCCCTTCAGTGTTCTTGCAAGTAAAATTTTACTCCCTCTGAGTGCTTAGAATTTTTGCTAGGTCACCTTTTAACTGTGACTTTCAAGAGCTATAGTCATTTAATTTATTATATAAAACTGTGCTAATTATTTTCACATTCAGAACGTCTCTTCCCAGTTTTCCTCTTCTGGCAGAACTCCCCTGATACAATCAAGCTGGTACATCGATTTAACTATATGATGATGACGGGAAGGCGGAGCTGCATTTATTGTTGTAAAGGCAGCCAAGATGTAAAGGCTGAGATAAAAGGAGTCATGCAGAAGGATACATTTACATCAGCCTGAATCTGGCATTCTGCCTTCTAGGGTTTTCTCACTCCTTTTGCATATTGGTACCTGCTTGTCTCTCTATTATCTTTAAGTCAGAAGTGTCGTGTCACTGTTCTGGTGTCAGCTCAGCTGTGATGAACGATTGCTTTCTTTCTGTAAAGAGAAAGTAACTGCCAAACAGGCTCATTACATATTTCAGACAAATAAATAAGATAGAGAACATTTTGATCAGAACTAGGCGGTGGTTGCTGCACAAGCTCAGTTGCTTCAACCATACCTAGTCTCAAGCATTGTAAGTGGCTTTCAGTGACTACCAGTTATTTCTACCTAAAATATGAATCCTAGTTCCTTACCTTAGCAGAGGTCAATTAGTTTATTGATTTGGCTTAGAAATATTTTAGCCTTTGAGGAAAAAATCTGACAATATTTTTGCTCTGTTCAAACTCTTCATTGAATTTAAAGGGACTGCATCATCTAGCAGATAAAAGTGATACTTAGGTAAGGTTGAACTCTTTTATGTAACGCTACCTTCTCTTCATTTGTCTGCCTCAAAAGCAGGAATACAGAACTGTCAGTGCATCGGACCAGGAGTAATTGAATTGTGAAGCATCTGAAGTTCCTCACTATCTTCAGCCTCTTTCTCTGGTTTGCCTGTGTTTCGACAGGACTCCCGCTAATATATAGAAACTCTGCCATCATAATGAAAAACAATCAGGATTTTAAAGGACTTTTTTAGTGATGTATCTTGTGGTGTTGTATTCAGTTGGAGTTGGCAGAAGTACTCAGCAGACGTAGACACGTCATTGGACTGCTGTGTTTAGAGGTTCCCTCAGACAGAACATGAGGGATGGAGGCTGTAGGCTCTGTGCAGCAAGAAGATCCCACTTGGGTTTGGCCGGGTGAAGCACCAAAGCACCTAATTAAGCTCATGAGAACCATTTAAACGATAAGGGTCTTGTGATGCCAGAAATGGCTGTTTGGGAAAGGCTGGCTCCTGCCTGCCGAGGCAGCATCCAACCATTGACCTGCATGTCACCCACCAGAAACTTCCCCTCCTTTGCAGACCGTCAGCTCTGCCACAAGTCCTTCTGGTGGCATCAGTCCCTGCCTTCTCCTTTGAGCCAGGGCCGGCGTGTGGGGAGCTGGGCTTTGGCTTGGCAGTGGCAGGCAGGAGGCGGCGAGGTGCGGTAAGCCGGGTGTGGGCAGGATGGGGCGGCCGGAGGGAAAACACGCCGGAGAGGGTCAGGGAAGACAGGATCGCTCCCCGTAGCAGCAGCCAAGAGAGAAGAGCAAGGTCCGGTTGGTGGGGCACAGGAAGGGAAACGGCTGAAGGTGTTCGGAGAGTTAAATCATCACAGCTGCCTTTTTCCATCCGCTTTTGTTTTGCCTCTTCTGAATTCCGACACCTACACAATACTCTGTCTTTTAAAAACAATGTTGGAGTTCCCGA